CATTCAATATGTTTTTCCTTCAGCTCATTCTTAAGTTCAAGTTCAACTCAGAGTCACCTATAACGAAAGGATCAGATTTCTTCTTCTCCAAATATTCAGTTCTAGAAGGAAGAAATAATAATTTCCCCAACTTTATACACAAACATAGAAACGAATCCACATTATTTGCATGTTCTCCTCCTTGAAAATAGTCTGTAGTACATAAATATATATTTAAGTCATTCAAAACCAGGTTGTGCCTAGGACAGTATATGGATTAGAGAAAGCTATAAGCCTCACCTAAATATAGCTGAATCTGCTTGTAGTTGAGGTACAGCAACATTTATGCTCAGTCACCATCGTCATGCCAGGGTGGCCAGAGATGAGATACCATACAGGATGTATATGGAGGGGTGGAGCCAGAGCAGCCTTGAAGGCTCAAGATGTACTAGCCCATCCAATGCTAGCAGAGAGAAATATCTGAGGACTGCTGATCTGCCCACTGTTGAGGCTACAGATTCGACTCTCAGGGCCTGCCTCTGTATATGGACATGCCATTGAAAAGGCCCCAGTAGCTAACTTCCTTGATCACCACAGGAACAGAGCAAGGCTGCCCTGTGATACCCTCTTCATCTCTCTGCTCCGGCATTCACCACTACTTTCCAGGGCCTCTAGGCCTTGCCAAACCTTCGGAATCACTGCTTTCTTTTGTGTCTGTTTCGATCACCAGCTGAGAGACTAGGAAAGGAGTAGGAGTGGAGGCCTGGCCTTGGTCACCTTGTATTGCCAACAAAGTCTCACCTAAGACCTCTCAGAGAAAAAGCCCTCTACTCCAAATTTGTCAGAGACGTTCAAAAGTGAGCAATGATTTATATGGCTTGTGCACTGCTGTCTTGCTGCATAGGAATGATTTGTGTGGCTTGTGCACTGCTGTCTTGCTGCATAGGAATGATTTGTGTGGCTTGTGTACTGCTGTCTTGCTGCACAGGAAGGCTTCCCTGTCTCTGGGATCTCTGCTCACTGTTTACATCATTGCTGTTTTCAATAGACAGACACTTCTGCCTAGACAGGTCCCTCCCCTGAAGTTGCCCTGCCCTGGCTGTTACTTTTTAATTGAGATGAAGCTCCAACGTGCACTTCTGATATTTTTTTTCTGCAAAGAATCCCCGCCTCCTTCTCTTCCCAGGCTCCATACAGCAGCTGTGTGACCAACCTGCTGGTGTGTCTGCCAAGTTCACAGCAAGTGTGCCCAGCACAGCACAGCTAAAGACCAAGGAGGACACACTGGCCTGGAGCCAGACCCTCACTGATAGGAAACCTGAATTGTTATATAATGTTAAGTGGGCTTATAAAATGCCTGGTGAAATAGTTCCCAGGGTAGATATTCCTTCTAACAAGCAAGCACTGGGGATTAAGCATTTTACCTGTGCAAGCTTACCTCTTTCTTTAAGGCTAGTGGTTCTCAACCTTCCTAATTCGGTGACCCATCAATATAGTTCCTCATGTTATAGTGACCCCCAACCATAAAACTATTTTCATTGCTCCCTTATTACTGTAATTTTGCTACTGTTGTGACTTGTAATGTAAATATGTAAATATCTGTTTTTCAGTAGTCTTAGGTGCCCCCTGTGAAAGAGTCTTTCCATCCCCAAAGGGGCAACAACCCACTGGTTGAGGATCACTCTTTAAGGCAAAACCCCTAAGAGGAGGCTATGCAGCAATATCTTCTTGTAATTCTCTAAAACACCTAGTACACAGCTCAGGACACTATCAAGAGTAAAAGAAAATATTAAAAAAAATACTACATCCATGGACAGTTGTCAGCCACAATTTTATATTGATAGGTGCCTTCCTGTGTTGGGTCCCATCTAAGCCACAGAACAGAGTTTGGGAAAACTCAGCCAGGACCAGTGAAATTACCCAACTGGCAAGTGGCTACTCTGGAATCCAGGTAGGTCTCTGAACACCCAACATGAGACTCTTTCCACTGTGACACCATTCAACCAAAGCTTGTTGCATGAATGAATAAGCAGAAGCAAGTCTCCCTAGACCCTCATCCCTGTCTGCTCCTCAGACCCTAGCATTGATGGCTTCAGTTCACCAGACTCCTGAGGAGACAATGATTAGGTTTCTGACTTTTCCCCATGATCTATGATGTCTGCTTCTAGGGGGGCACTGTTCAGTGGCAGCTTTCCCACTGATTAGTGTAAATCACATTGGTTAAAATTTGGGGTTGTTTAAAAAGAATGACAAAAAAAAAAAAACCACATAAAAACAAAGGCATGAGTAGGTAACCCCAGCTGGAAAACTTTTCCAGGAAAATCTTAAGACAGACTGCTTTTCAAACCATCTTCTCTATGAGCAAGCACAAGAAGTCTGTCATGGGAAACCGTAGAGCTGAAAGGCTCTTTGGCCTTGTGAGATATCCCAGTACAGCCTCCGGTTGAGCACGGTGTGCAGCTATTGGAGCGTCAGCAGAACAGCAGGCCTCACTGGGAAGCTACTTTGCGATTTCTCAAAGCCAAGAGTTGCTTTTGGAAAATTTCAGCAACAAAACAACTTAAAGGTCTGGAAATTGGCTTTGAAAATTAGCAGGTCTACAGATCTCATAAAATGTCAAGGTTGAATAAAAGGAGTCAACACCTTCGGGGGTGGGGTGGGGACGAGAGTATGTGCAGATATTCTCTTCCTGCAAAGGGGAAAAAAATAAAAGCCTTGTTGGCTCAACCAACCAACTCAACTTAACATCCACATGGGCATTTGTCCCTGAACCACCGACTGAGTCTATATCTGCAGAATCCACATTCCAGAACAGAGAGCACATCGGTCTTCTTCTTAGGCAATTGGCCCACATTTATTTCAGATCCACTGAACAAACCCCAAAGCTGGCAAGCTCTTCATTAAAGGCCAGAAATCTAACTAGCACTGGATTTATTATGCACAAGTACTTCTCTCAAAGCTGGCAGTCTAGCTAAATTAAAAGGAGATTCTTCTGACAATTTCCCAGATAGGAGCACACGGCAGATCAATGTACAGCTCAAGAAGGGGAATTTAAATACAGTAAGCACCTCTCCTTTGAAAAAAGGAGAGAAACCACTTTACATTTTGCCAGACAAAACCCTGTCCACAGGAGGTCCGCTTTCACAATGAGGTTGCAAAGGTGTTAGAGTGGGGCCAGTTGGGAAGAGATAAAGGGCCATTTGGCACACACCCACCCCACCCCACCCCACTCAGCTCAGCTTTTTTTTTTTTTCTTTTTTCTTTTCCTAAAGTGTCTCCCTACCTGAATGACAATGTGTCAGGATCACCTTTTGTTAAGGACCAGGGTGAGAAACCATAAAATTCCTGCCAGAATCTTAGAAGTAGCGAGCCTTTAGTTTACAGGAAGGGGAGGGGGTACCATCCCTTGTCCTGTCCTAGGGATCTGGGTGAAGGCCCGCCTAATCCTGAAAGCAAAACTTCAGGTTGCAGCAAGTGAAATCCCTTTTGAAAAAAAAAAAAAAATCCTGTGGGAAAACACAATTCTGTTTGTTTCTAAATTAACGCATTCACTAAGGCAAAGCAAATCTAGACAGTTTTCAATGCCTCCAAAAGCCCCTAACATCCCTAGGAGGTCAGGGAGCCTGCAACCAGAAAATGCACATGGAAGAAATTAAAACTGAACCTAAGTCTAAAAGAGGGCAATGGAAAGATGCATTTTAAGAGTAGCTGTTATGATGGAAATAAAGAAAATCCCCCTCCTCGGCAGGTCGATTTCTGCAAATAAATGTAAATTTACCCTCCCAGCAAAGCAATCTCTCCACCTTAGAAAAGCTAGCGTGGAAACAGAACTTGTTTTAAGCAAACTGCATGCAATCTCTTAGGGGGCCTGGGTGGAAGAAGGTTTCTGGGCTATTTTTTATTTTTAAAGAAAGCCGTCAGTAACCTGAATCCCAAAGAGAAGCAAAACATCTCGCCCGTGGGAGGTATAATGGCCACTCTAGGTTCGAAATCAGAAACCTATTTTGACACTACATTCCTGAAAACTTCGGTCTTTCGAAGGCCAATCCCGCCACCATTATGGCAGAAATGCACAGTTGTCTGGAACACCAGGCTGTTTCGCTGGTTTCGTACTCGGAGTGTCATCTCATCAGTTCCTAATTGAGTGGGCCTTCTTCACCAAGAAGATGAGAATAACGGCGCGATAGGATCTCCAGGTGGTTGCTGTCTAGCAATTTTTACAACTGTGGGTTATTAGTAGCATCGTCAGAAATCCTTATCAGCCAAAGGCAATTAATCTACAACCCTAAGGAAGGCCAAAACACGCAGGGAAAAAAATGGAAACCCTATTCACCTTGTCCTTCCCAGCAAAAGCACACACAAACTAGAAATTACACCGCGGACAGCAGGGGACCGAGGGCCGCAAGAGCGGAAAGAAAAATAAAAGAGTCCTCAGAAGGACTGGAATGGGGGATCCGCCAGACCAGCCCCTCCCCTCCCCCAAAGCAGCAGGGCAGGGAGAGCGAGCCCCGGTTGCTGCGCCGCCGGGACCCCAGCAGTCCTGCGGCCACAGCGGATTCTCTACCTTCCCTCCCTCGCCCTCCGGTGCGCCAGGGTCTCCAGGACGCTGGGAGGTTCCAAGAGGGCGGAGTGGGGTAGCCTTGGAGAATGTTCAGAGCCGGGCGGGACCCGCTGCCTAGGGATGGGGACACAAAGAGGGAAAGGGAGTTTGCAGGAGGAGTAAAAACAAATCTGCGAAGGAAGAGAGTGCAAACTGGGAAAAGAGGCGCGGATAGAGCAGAGAATCCCCAGCCAACAAGAAAAGAGCCGGGGTCGAAGAGAGAGGGAATGTGGGTGCGGGGCAGAGGCTCGGCAGAAGAGGGCAGCGGCAGATGAGTACACCGGACAGAGAGCACTGGACGTGGAGAAGTCTGCAGGAGCAGAGAGGTCCCGCAGCCGGCTTGGGCGCTCCGTGCAGCGCCCCGGGGCTCTGCGCAGCGGGAGAGCGCTGTAAGTGTGGCGGCGCGAAGAGGGTCGCTTACCTGCATGGTGACTACCCCCAGCTCCTCGGCAGCCAGCCTCCGCATCTGACTCGCCAGCACTTGCGCCTCATCCAGGATGGAGAAGTCGGCGTCGGCCACGGTGCCCAAGATCCAGCATGCCACAAGGCAGAACAGCCAGAGGGGCGGCCGTGGGGCCCCAGGCCAGCCAGGGCAGCGGGGACAGCGGCGGACCAGAGCGGCTGGCCTTACGGTCTCCTCTTCCTCGGGCTCGCGGGCCATGCCGCCTCCGGCCACTCCCGCCGACGGGATTCGGGCGCTGGCCGCGGGAGGCGCAGCCCGCCAAACTTTCCTCGTCTCCTGCGCTCCCGGCTCCGCGGCGCAGCGGCGGTAGCTGGCAAACTTAGGGGGCGCCCGGCTGCAGCGCGGGCGCGCGGGCGGCCACCATCGCCCGGCAGCAGCGGCTCCGAGACCGCGGCGCCGGCAGGCCGGACGGCTGAGAGCACCGGCGGAGCGGCGCCGCCTTCGCTTCCCCGAGTCCCGGCGCAGCCCGGAGACGGCGACGGCGCCACCAAGTGCGGGCGCGGCGGCGCGGCCGGGGCGGTCTCCCGGCGAGGAGGGAGAAGGAGGTTTAAAAGACCTAAGTGAGAGAAGAGAAAGGAAAGAAAGCGGCGGGGAAAAGGGAGGTGTCTGGTGCCACCACGCTGCGCTCCGGCTCCGTACACTTCCCGGCTCAGCCGCCGCCGCTGCAGCGGTGATTTATGGAAAGCGGAGGGAGGCGGGGAAAGTCCCGCGCTCGCCCCTCCTCTCCCTCGCTTGCACGGGGCGACGCCCTGGGACGCTGGGGGCCCGGGACACTGGGCGGGGGGGCTTCGCTTCCACCGGACCCTTCTGGACTGAGAAGGGGACCATTGAGACCTTCTCATGGCTGCCTAGGCGACCCCCAACCCGCTCTTCCCGTCTTGGCCCATGTAGGAGATCTGGGGTCCCAAGTGTTACAGGTTCCACCCACCCACCCACCCACCACCTAAAGTCCCTTTTAAGTTCGAGAACTCAGGCTTTCTGCCTGACAGAAGACTTAGGAAGGGAGCAACTACCTTTTGGGCCTCAACTCCCTTTCTTCGTAATTAGTAACAATAGCTCGCCCTCGTGGGCCCAGCGGACTTGGTTTGTAACCAGCTATCATGTGGCTAGCACAATATTCTGAGGTCTACATTCAGCCTGTGTGACTCATTATTCTTTAATCCCAGGACTAGGCTGGGAGGTTGTATCTTGATCCTGAATTTTTAGATAACAAACTCAGAACCTTAGGGAGTTACAACAAATAGCTGAAGGTCACTCAGGGATAAGCGACTGACCCAGAGTTTAACCACAAGTATTACTTCCACTGGGTAAGTCTCGCTCTCTCTCTCTGGCTCGCTCTCTCTCTCGCGCTCTCTCTCTCTCTCCCTCCCTCCCTCCCTCCCTCCCTCCCTCCCTCCCTCTCTCCACCTCGCTCTTTCTTTGTGTATGTGTGTGTAAATCCATCTGACTCCATTACAAGCAAAAATCAAAAAATGAAAACAAAGCTGAAGTGGAGCTCCTCGCACCCACCTGCTCTTCTAAGCATGCATAGGCATGGCTAACTTTCCGGTTAGCTCCTGAGTCCTGGATCAGAATCTCTGGAAGCTACAAGATAGAAACAAGTGCATGGCGTGGCGCTGTGCGAGCCGCAGGGTATCAATGTCTCTGTATTCTCTGCATTCATTTTCTTTCCTACAGACTATGAATGTGCTGCTTCTAGGGTCCTAGAAACTACAGTTATGGGTAGGCAGATGTGTGTGTGGGGGGGTGTTAAATGAGAATTCGCCACCACCACCCCACCACCACCCCACCCCACCCCACCCCCGTGCTCATATGTTTGAATACTTGAATACTTGGTCCACAATTTGGGACTATTTGGGAACAATTAGTAGGAAGTGTGGTCTTTTTGGAGGAGGTGTGCCACTAAGGATGGACTTTGAGGTTTTAAAAACCATTCTCAATTAGCTCTCTCTGCCCCAGAATCATGTCTGGAGGTGTGAGCTCTCTGCTACTGCTCCAGCTACCTGCTTGCCTGTCGGCCATGCTCCCCTGCCACTGTAGCCATGGACTCTGACTCCCTGGAACCATGAGCCCCACATAAAATATTTTACTTTATAAGTTGTCTTGGTCATGATACCTTATATCAGGCAATAGAAAATAACAAGTACAACAGGTTATAGGATTTGCCTAGGTTAGTTACCAGAGGCGGAGCAGGAAAACAAACTGTATTTACTGTTTGGTTTACTTGATAGTAACATCTTCCAGTTTCTGTCTTTGATTATAAGAACTCAGTAATAAGAACTGAATTTTTGGGCTGAAGAGAGGACTCAGTCAATAAAATGCCTACTAGGTGCAAGCATGAAGACATAAGTTTTGATCCCCAGCACCCAAGTAAAAACTAAGCATGGTGGTGTTTCTCTGTAACAAGGTGTTACAGAAGGGATGACAGATACATGTGGACCCAGCTTAGCCAACCTGAGCTCTGGGTTCAGTGAGAAACCCTGTCAGAGAAAATTCAGTGGAAAGTGATTGAGGACAACACCCAAAGCCAACTTCTGTCCTCTGCCCTTTTCTACCACCTCCATCAAGCACAGGGATACACACGTGTGCAGCTTCTCTCAGGAGCATCCCCAGGGCCCATCTTACCACACTGGGAACATTTCCCTAGTTCTAGCTTTCCCCATTTCTACGGTCCCTGTTATTTTACCATGTTTTCATTGGGTGGCACTCGTGGCATCCCAATCTTGGCAGGGCCATCATTTACTATCTGTGCTATTTATGATGTTTGTTTTACTAGGGTGAGCTTCTCAAATGCAGAATCCTGTCACCACTACACCATCTGCATAGGCACAGAGTATGTCCTAAAAAATTTGGTAAAGAGCCTGTGTATTTGGGGCTGTTGTTGGATCATGGGATATGCATGCTGCTTTCTCATTTCCACAAGTCTTAAGTACCAGCATGAGCTACAAGGAAGCTACTGAATCGGTGACTCATGTATCCTAGAGTTCTAGCATTTAGCTCAGTTAGATCTTAATATGCAAGAAAGAACATGTGACCATTCTTATCTAATCAATAAGGTAAAGCCAATAGTTGTTTGCTCAAAAAGGCTGGGGCTGGAGAGATGGCCCAGCAGTTAAGAGCACTGACTGCCCTTTCAGAGGTCCTGAGTTCAATTCCAAGCAACCATATGCTGGCTCACAACCATCTGTCATGGGATCTAATGCTCTCTTTTGGTGTGTCTGAAGACAGCTATAGTGTACTCGTATTCATAAAATAAATAAATAAATAAATCTAAAAAAAAAAAAAAGGTTTAGGTGGTAATGTCAGTGCACCCTGAGTCTAGTACAGTGTTAAACTCCACAACCCAAAGCAAACTGAGGAGGAGGAAAGGATTTACTTGGCTTTTATATCCCAAGTCACAAACAGTCCATCGCAGCAAGTCAAGGCAGGAACCTGGGGGCAGGACCTGAAGCAGAAGCCATAAAGGAGTGCTGCTTACTGGCTTGCTCTCCATGGCTTGCTCAGCCTGCTTTTTTATATACCCTAGGACCACTTGCTCAGGGGTGGTCCAGCTCCTTCCACACCAGACATTAATCAAAGAAATGCCCCTATAAACTTGTCTACAATCCAATCTAATGAAGGCATTTTCCTTTTAAGATTGTTTTTTCCCAACAGGCAGTGGGGGTACATGAGTTGGAGGCCAGCCTGGTGGTCTACAGAGAGTTCCAGGACAACCAGGGCTATACAGAGAAACCTTGTCTAAAAACCCTCCTCTCCAAAAAAGTTTTTTTCCCAATTAAGATTTCCTCTTCTCAGGCATGTCTAGATTTGTGACAAGTTGACAAACACAAACCAGCACACACATATATTGATCAAAGTGTGTCGCTTGGTAAGCACCTGATTCTTAATGTTTTCAGTCTCTATCAGAGAAGTTATTTGTGCACAGACCTCCAAGTCATCATTAAAGAGACTTTCTGATAAGATAACTAATTAGAACAAGACAGGCAGGCAGGCGACATCAAGCCAGTCAATAACATCTGTAGCAAAATATCTGCTACAACAAATCTTTATTTGCAAATATTTTATTAAGATATACCAAGTGGGAAACCATATGCCTACAATGCTACCACTCCAGGGACCAAAGTCAGAGGATTACTGTGCACAGCAGTGATCTGCATAGCAAAACTACTACAACAGCAATAACTGAGGGGGGGGGGATGTCATGGCAACCATCATTCCCTATATTTATATCTATATATATGTATACATATATGTATATACAATCATAATCATAATACATGTGTATGTATATGCTTATATACACATATATGTGACACTATAGCTTACAGATATACATCTTTGTACATTTGTATATGTGTATATTTAGATAACATATAAATATGCATGTATTGTGTGTGTGTGTGTGTGTCTGTGTGTGTGTCTGTGTCTGTGTGTGTGTGTGTAATGTATATATGTGCATGAATGCACAGCGGTATACCAAGAGCAGAAATATGGATTTGGTTTCCATGAGTCCTCTCCACAAAACAGAATTTCTTCTAGCTTCTGTTTCTATATCCATACAATGTAAACTGTACTGCCCAGGGTTTGTGTGGTCAGGTACATATACAATGCTCAGCATAGCCCATGTGAGATGTGAGAGAGGAAGTATAGTAAGCTCAGAAAGCCAGCCAGGGAGAAGGGAGTGCATAGAACCTGCCAGGACAGGCCACCACCCAAATCCAAACTAATGTGACTTCCAGATGTTCTCATTTCAAGTTCAGTGGATGTGTTCTTCCCTTTGTGTTCAGATGTAACACTAAGGATCAAGTTGGATCACTCAGTCTACACAAGGAAGATGCGATTAGTTGTGTAGCTATTTGAAATGATGAAGAAAGAAACCAAAAATGGCAAGAGGGCCATACCTGTTTGGAGGGGAGTATAGATCACTGTGGATTTCGTCTGGTGGCTTTCCCTCCTCTCCACGGTGTTCCAGCAGTGTTCACTTGTCACCAGGTTGGAAACTGGTTCAGCATCCCCCTGGAAGCTACAGCACACAGCATGCAGCTTCCTGTGTGTTCATCAGCAAACCTTGTCCCTAAGTGTTTCTCCAAGTGTGGATGACTAGCCACCTGTGAAAGACTGTGAACACTTTGTTCACTGTCACAGAGCTCAATATTGTTTCACTCAGAGAGTTAAAACCCAGGAAATGTTTTACATAC